GGCAAATTTATTTTTTATTTAATCTTCATGCAGCGCAATTTCAGGTGTCTCTATGGGTTGGCTGTGAACCTTTTAATTACCAACTAGAAAGTACAGAGGGAGACAGGATTACAGTCGAATGGAAGACGCCCCGGAAGATGCGCCGAAAAAGTTCAACCGAGAATATTTTCAAAGCGACGTCATCATAAGGAGAAAAAACCTGCAGATATCATACAATGCATGATTTAGCGACTGAAGTGGAGCACAAAATCGCAAGCTAAAATGAATTAGCTTATCACTGATACCAGTTTTATGATTGTGAATTGCATTTTCGAATAAACTTGAAAATTGTAGCCTGACTTGCCAACTCTGTGAAAGCTAGCAAAGCACCAGAAAAAGATAAACAGGTTTTCACCCGAAAACATCAAAACACCAATTGCTTATGCATAACGCAAAAAATAACTGTGGTCAATCAGAGGACTGACTAATACCAACGTTTCTGCTCGTGTAGGGCGGGGCTTTCTTCAAAGTAAGTTGTTGTGGTGAAGTTTCATGAACACGGTTGGTCGTCCGCAATAGTCAATAGTTTTGGAGCCAGAAGGCAAGCTTCCCATCCAGGTTGCTGGTTCAATAGTTTCTGGTCAACAAGGACAATTAGACTCATTCAATCCACTTAGAATTCGTATCTTTTGACATGGTTGAAGTTTTCACAGGATTAGATGATTAATGCCTCTTTCATCCGCCTGTGTAGCCACTGTAGTTCCTGAGGACTTCTCAGTGAGGATAAATATGAAATGTGCCTATTCTTATTCCTTTCTTCAGCATTAGAGAAATATGCCATCTACCTTCAGAACGGCTTCCTATTATTATCGATGCCTCGGTGACTCGCGGATTCGTTTCGAAACATTTCCATGGTTAAAGAGAACCCTTTATGGTTTCATGAAGTATGAGATTCTGGCCTCACACTCCTTCGTGAACTTGGTTATTGTTAACGATATTCAATGATCATGATCAACAGCAGCCGCCCTTTGTGGATAAGCCGTCGAGTGATGCATCTCCAATAATTTCTCACATTCTCGTTTTTGCACGTCGTAGCCACAGAGTTGGAACGAATTTCTTGATTTCCTAAATTTGGCAACGTTTAATCCGGTGAGAAATATTATGATCTCTTCAGAGCACTGACAGCATCAATCGAAGCAGATATTCACTTGTATCACGCGCACACCACCGCATGTGCAAAAATATAGCAGAGCCAATATTGTAGTATATTTGGCCTGAATTTGTCACGCTATAGGCTGAGGCCCCTTGAAATAAAAATATTGCCTGATGGAATCCATAATTTCAAAACACTAGACGAAATGCGAAGGCATACTGCTAACAAATGCATTGTTTAAAGTCCAACCAGTCATTAAATGAGTGAATTTCAAAAGAATCTTTCAGATGTAGCCACTGGATTGAAACTAAACGCAGTATAGTCAACTAGACTGTGTTTAGTTTCAAACAAACTTAACACCGCTTTATCGTATTAAGAGATTTTTCCATTATTGTTCAAACAATTTATACACATGAAAGCAATGAGCAACCGTAGATGAATCCAGAGCAAGTGTCTCAATGACCTTGTAACTAAAATGAGGAGCCACCAGCAGGACGAATCAAATTCAGTCAATCCATCTCCCTACTTTTCATTTCAGTGACAAAAATTAGAGGTCTAAAGAGTGCTACAGTGGCGAGTGTGGATAAAATTGTTGTTTAAAACATGAGTATCAAATTCTGGAGTTCAGATATAGAGAGTCTTATTCATTACAATAAGATCATAGCATAAAAGTGATAATCAAGCAGGAGGTAGTCATACGTTTCTTTCCGTCTGTTCACAGTGAGATGATGTCAATTAAATCTTTGCTTGACATGTAGTCGTAACTCTATAATTTGCAGCCAAATCTGAAAAACAATTTTGTCGTGAAGTCCTCGTCTTTTCCAAGTGCTTTCTAAATCGAAGTCCGAAAAATTGTAGCCAAAACAATGAACGTGCTAAACGCGAAGGTCCGGGAATCGATCTCAGGAAAAACTAACATTGAATGCCAATCAGCTGTTGGTAAAATATTGATCGCCTGCATGTATTAATGCAAGTTTTACCCCAGCCACTAAAAGTTGCAATGCTAATCTAATAACTATTGCACAACTCTTCACGGGATTGTGACGATAATTACATTAAGGATCAATAAGATTAAAAATGCTTTAATCCTTCATATAGATTATCGATAACTGGCATGATAAACAACTATACAAAAACTATTAATGTCATTTGTTAAATAGGCATCTTTCTTATACCAGCATTCAGAAATTGTTGATTTCACCATAACTTATTTGCATTAATGTAAAATAAATCATAATGAATATAGAATTGCAAATCTAATGCTAACGTAGTTTTGCTTTATTTAATTTCACTGATAAAAAGTCCCTCTACCTAAGGCACTTTAACAACTGTCGAAATTCCAGCACTTTTCTTTTACCGCATATACGACAGCAAGGCATCCTCCTCCTTTCCGAATGATTACGTTATAAATACACAATTAAGATGACGTGAACGGTTCTTTTCCCTGTACTGCAGGCATCGTGCATTTTCCCGCATTCCGTGCATATGTCACATATACGCCATAAGCTGTGGGTTCGTCTAAATGTCAGATAACACTCAACTCCCCCCTCCAAGACTATATGTCACGTTATATTGTCCGCCCCTTTGATCCTTAATTGCTTGGAGGGGGCATTTAAGTAAGCCAAGGATCTATGGCATTTAAACCCTTGCAGTGCCAATTGCATCCTTATGATTACAACTATAAAAAGCAAGAATGAGGTATGTAACACGAAGTGGACTCTGATATTAGAGTTACTTGATCACACATACATACGGTGCATTCGACTTGAAGCGACAAAGCTTCGTAAAGAAGACCAGACAACCGGCAAACTTTTGTTACGAAGGTGAATACACAGAGAAAATATAAACACTGGAAGAACCTACACTACGGTTTACAGTACGAACTAAGCGTAATCAACAAGGAATGCTCCCTTCACTTGGTCTTTGCCCATGACCCTTCTGAAGGACTAACACATTTAAAAACTGCACTAACACGCAATCTCTTCAACAATCATGCACGCTCGAATCTATAAGTGCATGGCAAGGATTTCCGGTACTCTTGCTATATCACATATTTCCAGCTATTTGTGACGCTCCTACGACGACAGGTGCTTTCTTTCATCCATTTGAACGCGTGCTTACTGTCTAGCGATGACAATCAATCAATACGCGATCGACACACACATGCTGACTTTCAGCCATTGCTAGTTCGCCTTTGCGAGATAGGAAACGAGGAACATTATAAACGAAAAATATATTTTAAATCACTGATACAAATATTTTGCAAATTCCCAAAGTAGATGCTGTAACATCGCCTGAAAAAGAAAGGAAAGCTAATCACCGTCGAAATGTCCGTTTCCTTTACTTTCATGAATGGGTATTTTAGCGGCCTGCTTTCCACGAAACCGATGGTGCCGATCGAACCTCCGTTCCTACGCCTCCAGCCAGGAGGGTCTTATTTCTTTAAGACACAGTCTACGGTCATGTCGAAAACGTAGCATTTAGTCTCCTATTTCCTTCCAACAGTTTTATTCATTCATTAACCTCAGAATGTAGAAGGGCAAGTGACTCCAGTCGATCGGGATTTTAACTCAGGAAATATCGGTCTTAAGTACGACGAGACACCGACAACATAAGCCCAGTCTGAAGCAATGTGTAGTAAATTCGCTGATCAAGATTTTCTTGATTTTTCCAAACAAAAATTGCTCTGGAGCGAAATCGAATTCGGCCCCTCCGGAGTTCCAAGCTGACCTCTTAGACACGGTGCCTGAAGTATCTTACCGTTCGAACGAATAACGCAATTTTGCATATGATGAACTTTAATTAGTGAAGTTAGCGCACAGCTGCACCTTCAAGCATTCAGATTTTATTTAATTTTAACCTCACAACTTAACAGGCTATGCGCAACATAACTGTCAACACTGCAAACCAAAATATCCCAACTTAACGCAAGAGAAACTAGATCAGTGACTACTGGCTTTAATAACTGGTATCGGCTTTCCCATAGCAATATATTTCAAGCGCAAAGATTCAGGCATTTCAGGCGGTGGCGGACGAGGCATCTTGAAAAACACCTTAACCGAATCGTAGATGAACCATTGCAATGCTGTCAGCGTGCCGATCATTAAAATTCGAGGAAACAAGCCTTTCCATACGCCGATCCACCCTAGCTTCTTCAACACTTGGTAGGCCGTAGAACCGCTGTCCTGATTAAGTTTGGACACGACCGAATCAGCGGGGTGCGAAACCAGGGCACAGAAAATACCAGCTAGAATAAGAATAAAAAATTAGATAGCGTAAACCAGAAATTAACAGCTGGCAAAGACAGAACAATACACATTTGGTTTCGATGCTAATTTCAACCCGGTTAACATTTTTTCCAATTATTATTCTGTTCTTACCGCAAACTGTTAGAGAGGAGAAAGCACAAAGCTGCAACTTCATCACGATCACGATCAAAAGAGAAATCCTCTAAAGAAGATGGAGACAAAACATGAGTCCTGGAGTTGAAGTTACGCATCTCTTGGAAACCGCTTAAGATTTTACCTTCTCTGCCGAAAAGCAGGCGCTCCAAAACTTGCGCGGTGGTTTTCTTTCATGGTGACATTACCAGTTTTCATGTATTTCATTCTTCTCTACTGGACTGACAATAACTGATTTACTTTTTCAACGGTGTTAAATAAGATTTCTTGAAGTTCTATTCAAACAGTAAATTCAAGGTTCATTAAGGAATATGCTACGTTAAACTGGAAGAATAACTCATCTGTCAGACGAAAAACATCGGATGACAGAAACTGTTTATTTTAATCCACCACCATTCACCATGGAACCAGCGGACAGCATCGTGGTTACAACATTTCGAGATTCTTCTGAAAGACAAATTGAACGAGTGAGATCATAAACGCTCTGTATTATGAAAATTGCGAAGGGAATTGCACTATCTGTGCGATTAATGAAGCTGTCGATCTACTCAAAAGAATCAGTTCATCCAACGGCTCTAGCATGATGGATAAAATACCATGAATTTCTTTTTGGCTTCGTAACAAAGAACTTTACACTAACTCGAAGAGTGGGGATAATGATTTCTGATAAAATCGGCGCTGAAGGTGGCCTGTCGACTGTGACAAATTTTGCTGGTCAACTTCAAACACTACGCACACAACAAAGTGAAACCAGCTGTCATTCAAGAAAAGGTCTAAATCGATTTTAAGCCATTTTAGTTCGCGTTGAGTACAAGTCATTCTCAAAAGACCGGTCTGGCTACAGACAAATAGAACTGCTGTGGCATATTTCTCCCATCTTCCGATGATTTGCACAGAAAATTACACGCCTGACCTAACGTTACTCCCGTATCATAGCAACAAATCAGATGATGATAGATTCAAATAACGATGGATATTGGGATGTCATGCATTAACGAGAAGTAAAGTTACAGTGACTATTCTAACTCCAAGATATTTTTAGAGTAATACGATCAATGGCATTCTACGGCATCGCAATACCGTATATGTGTACTATGACTAAAAAATTTTGAAAACATTAAATAATAAAACAAAGTTTAAATTAAAAT